TTTGTGTCTTCATCATTGTCAACATCCTCTACATTGTGGTGATCAACAATTATAGTACAGATGTTACTCTGATACAATTTGATTTGATCAAAGACTATAGAGAAGAGTCTTTGATTTGATGTATATGTAATGTTATCTTACAGTATTGGAGATGTGAGTTACTTATAAAGCGACTGGTCCTGGACCTAACTATGACATCACAGCAGATACAGCTCTAGCTATAGAGAATTGTATCTGTGGGCCAGAATATGAAGGACTCTCTTGTGAGGTATGATTAAAAATACTGACGATACAGTAGTTGATGCAGAGTTGTACTTATTCTCTGAATTACTTACATAATAATAAATATTATGTATACCACGAGAAACTGAAGTAGAATAAATTGAATTGTGTAATGGAAAATATCTTTATTTGATTATCGTTATATAATGTATATCATTTTGTTCTTAAATTCAGGAATGTGCATCTGGCTATTTTCGTCAGAATCAGACAATTCATGATTATTTTGGTGTTTGTGTCTTATGTGACTGTAATGGACATAGTGATGTATGTGATAAGAACACAGGAGAATGTCTTAACTGTCAACATAACACTGCAGGTAAGAAACATCATAAAATTAGGTTCATAAATAATTTTTATCAATCAGTTACGATTTTTTACTTTCTCTTTCTCTTTTATACTTACGACTTTCTCGCCCAGATTTTTCTGCATTTTTTTTATTATATTCTTCAATATTTCTGGAAATGCACCCTAATTTTGCAACCAACAGACAGAATTTTAGTAAATTTTCAGTTTTTACCCAAAAACTTTGGCTATTTTTGGCCCAATATTCTAAACGAAAGTACAGACTATAAACAGGACTACTTTGTGAATTTGTGATGAAAAGAAGGAACTGGTGGTGAAAAGGTTAGTTGATTCACAGTCCCTCTATCCTGGGACTGTGGTTGATTCAACCCCTGTTGCCCCTTTCCTCCTTTCCCGGTAAAAGTACTTTTATATTTTTAGTCCCCGTTCAGACGAAGTCCGAAAACGGGGACTTATAATTCGATCTCCGTGCGTCCGTGCGTCCGTGCGTCTGTGCGTCCGTCCGGAATCATGTCTCAGAATCCCTTGGACCGATTCCGTTCATTCTTTGCATGTGCCTAGTACTTTATGTGGGACATATGCACATACAGTGGTTTAGCAATTCGATTCAAAATGGCCAACTGGCAGCCATCTTGTTTTTTGAAAATGTTGTATTTTGGACATGCTTTGTCAGTTTTCATTCAAACTTGGTACATAGATTATACATGTTAGGATACATGTTCATGACGATTTATTTCACAATTGGATCAAAGATGGCCGACTGGCAGCCATCTTGTTTTTTGAAAATTTTTTGATTTTGTATTTTGGACATGCTTTGTCAGTTTTCATTCAAACTTGGTACATAGATTATACATGTTAGGATACATGTTCATGACGATTTATTTCACAATTGGATCAAAGATGGCCGACTGGCAGCCATCTTGTTTTTTGAAAATGTTGTATTTCGGACATGCTTTGTCAGTTTTCATTCAAATTTAGTACATAGAACAAACATGTTAGGATACATGTCCCCGACCCTCCGTGAGTTCCTGAGTCCGTCCGTGTGTCCGTCCGTTCGTGTGTCCGTCCGTCCGTCACTCTGTCCAATGTCATATTTCAGAATCCTGTGGACCGATTCCGTTCATTCTTTGCATGTGCCTAGTACCTTATGTGGGACATATGCACATGCAGTGGTTTAGGTGATTTGTTTCAAAATGGCCGACTGGCAGCCATCTTGTTTTTTGAAAATGTTGTATTTTGGACATGCTTTGTCAGTTGTCATTCAAACTTGGTACATAGATTATACATGTTAGGATACATGTCCGTGACGATTTATTTCGCAATTGGATCAAAGATGGTCGACTGGCAGGCATCTTGTTTTTTTGTTTTTTTATGTGGTATTTTGGACGTGCTCTGTCAGTTTTCATTCAAATTTGGCACATACATGTACTTTATACATGTTAGGATGCATGTCCATGACAATTTGTTTCAAAATCTGGTCAAGGATGGTCGATTGACAGCCATCTGACTTTTTGGCCTTACTGCTATATTCCCACAATTTATGTACCATTTTCATTCATATTTGGCACATACATCATACATATCAGTGTGTTTCATAATCAGATCAAAGATGGCCGAATAACGGCTGTTTTTATTTTTGGCCATATTACTACTACAAGGAACACGTGTTTTGATGTAAATAAACAATCGTTGTATACGCCACTTGGAACTCAAGTTTCAAGGACACGCTCGCGTCAACTTCTTCGCTTTAATATGATGAGCACAAAGAGAACTTTTAAAAATTTAACGGGGACTGTGCCATTTTCAATGACTTGTTTTTAGATAAATCATTTCTAAATGAACCTTATGGGTAATGGATTAATTGTTTTTCTACCTGACAATTGCCCAATAAACATAGTACTTACAACATTAATGTCATTAGGTTTCAACTGTGAATTATGTGCTGATGGTTTCTATGGAGATGCTTCTCAAGGTGAAGCAGATGATTGTGAGTCGTGTCCATGTTCAGCACCAAAAACTGTGACTGCTTTATGTGAATTCATTGATAGTATTGTCACATGTATCAACTGTTCTGATGGACATACTGGTCCACTGTGTAATCAGTAAGTATGCTTTATTTCTCAACTAATTCATGTGACTTTGCGGTTGTGTATGTATGTACTATGATATGTATGTGTGTGTGTCTGTTCCACTAATATCTCAAGAATCAATTATCATATTTTCATGAACCTTAGTACATAGATCCTCTGAGATAATACACAGACCTGATTAGTTTTTGCTTAAAAACCATATATATTAATGACCTAATTTGCATATTACATGTAATTAGCCAAATTCACTACG